ACAACACTCATCAAGACAACAACATAAGTTTAAAACCAAATTAGCCCCATGCACAATACTGCAAATCATTCTTGGCAACCACCTCATTCACTACAAACATTGATCCGATTTAGAACAACAACTGCTATTGGGATAAATGACTTTCATAAGCATATAAAAAAAATATAGCCTACCCAATTCACCTGTACTGCAAGACTTTGGGATTTGGGGGAAACCAGAGCACCCGGAGGAAACACACACAAACACAGGAAGAACATGCAAACAATATATAATAATATATAAATTTTATATATAATAATATATAAAACTGAATTCTTATTATAATTGTTATATATGTTGTCCTTCGTGTGAATGCATCTTCATTTTCTTAAAATCCATTAATTTGGCAAATCAACATGTCAGACTGATTTTGCACCTACTTCGAATGTTATCACTCGATTAAATGGGTGTTATCAGTGGTTATCAGCTGATACATATGGACCAATAGGGACCTTCTGCGCCTACTAGTAGGCTCAGAAGGCTGTTATCATCCATCCACATGGTTAATCAGCTGATTACATACGACTGCGGTCGGAAGTTAACTTTGAATTATTTATACTATTTATTAAATTTTCCATTAATTGTGTCTTCTCTATTAGGGCACACTCACACAATGTACAGTTACGTTGAACCTGGCCGAAGCACGCTTATCCCCCTTCTCGTCTCCCCCGACAGCCTCCACTAACATTGCATTCGGGCCTGAGCACGCTTACATCATCGATGATGCGCTGTTCAGTAAAGTAGCGCTCTCGCTCAGCACAGTGGAGATTTTTTTAGTTTTAGTCATTTAAGATGCAGTGACACGCAGTCAAATATTTCGCAGAACAAATCAGCCACTTTTGATGCTTATAGACAATCATAAAGTCCTCCTGCTGCAGGTATTAGGAGGCTTGCTAAAGGTGCAGCGGTCGTACAGTGAGAAGTTTGCGTCTTTAATAACCTACGACAGTTTGCGTTCATTAAACAGTAAGCATGATTAATAAATCCACATGAAACAGTCCCTTAGAAGTCACATTCAGTTTCTGAGCCCAAGTGAACCGCGGTCTGGCGCACCTCTTCCAACCGGGCCAGAGCCCGATTCAAAGCACTCACACTTCTCAAAAGATCCAGGAAATGGGCCTGGGCACAGTTCATATAGCATAGTGTGAGTGAGCCCTTAGTATAGCTGATTAACCATGTGGATGGATGATATCAGCCTTCTGAGCCTACCAGTAGGTGCAGAAAGCCTCTATTGGCCCATATCTCAGCAGAAGACAACTTGTAATGACGATTCAATCGAGATAACATTGAAGATATTTTATCACTATCTCACTCTCTCACTCTCTCACTCTCTCTCTCTCTCTCTCTCTCTCTCTCTCTCTCTCTATATATATATATATATATATATATATATATATATATATATATATATATATATATATATAATGTCTCTGTCAATGTTTCAAACTATTATATTTGATTTACCAAAGTCACACAAGTGAAAATTTCACATCTCTCACATCCATAACAGTGAGATGTCACATCCATAACGATAATTTTTCCTCATAAATAAAAAAAAAAACTCAAATAAAATCAAATCAGTCATTTTTGTTCTACAGAGAGCCGACTCCTTTTGATTAGCATAATTTCTACAAGCATGTTGTATTCTGTAAACTCGCAGACTTTTTTTGTCACATCCAAAACGCATGTTTATTTCCTTCATTTAAAGCCTAAAAAAATGCTTGCAGATTGATATTTTTCTGATCCCATAACTCAGAGCTTAGTTGTTTTGGAAAATATAAACAGAAGTTTTAATATAATGTTAAAATATACTTTATCTGTGAATTTATATTTTAAGTTTTTACTGCAAATTACTATACATTATGTTACTATTCTTAGCTTTTTTGCTTAACATTTGAAATTTTCTTTGTTATGGCCATATTTTATGTAAAACACAACATTCATGGGTCATAAAAGGCTAGACACATAAATAAGTGCTAAAAACAATGCTAATTACAACTAAACTGTCTCATTTCCAAAACTACTGACCACCAAAAAAGCAGAAGAAAATCATTTATTTTAAAAACATTTTGTCAAAGGCTCCCTAAAACATCTGACGGGGGTTTTGTTGGACTTGTCAAAAAGCTGGCATGTGATTGGCCGGAGAGTAGAAGCTGCCCTGTTGGCATGGCAGCGGGCGAACAGGCCAGGCCATGTTGTTTACACAGTGGCCAGCTTTTTTTATTGCCTGTCTGTGCCTGCGTGTCTCCGCCAGTGTCCCTCCATCTCCTTTCACAAGGGCCTGGGTAAATATGCCTGTTCAAATAGCCATCAGTCAGAGGCAGTGACAGGCCTGTACTCCTTTCCTGAGCGTCCCGAACCCCTCGCTCATCCCCCCTCGCTTCGGGCCACGCTCTCTATCTGAATGAGAAAGAGTTCAAACTCCTGCTACATTTAAATGAATGCCCAAGAATTCAGGGCAAACACTTTTAACTCCCTATAGGATATAAATAAAACATTGATTCTGATTAAAGGAACACTTTGAGTTTAAGTCTATGTGTTTATGGGAGGACACCGCAGGTGAATTGGGGACAAAAATGAACAAAAAGTTATCAACATACACTCAAAAAATCACATTTGTTGTTTGTTCAAACTACTTATTTAAAATGAGCTGAAACAACACCATTATTGAGTTTTTTTTAATGGGGATAACTTAATTGTTTTGAATTTAATTTACTTGTAAATTTGTAGAAACTAATAAATCAACTTAATTCCTATTATCCAGCATTTTTTATTTTAGAAAAATTGTTAGTGCCTTAATCTTTTTAATTAGTTGAATCAAATTATCTTTTTATTCATCCCAATTTACATCAATCAAACTGACTAACCATATTAAGGTAAACTTTGTATAACGTACAAAATGCAGTTGAAACCTGCGTAACTTCTTAAAAATAAGTTACAGAAACTTAAAAAGTTTTGTTGTCAGGAATTTTGTCAATGTAGATCAAGCCTGTAGACAGCCTGGTAAGGGGGTGGTTTTTTATTCTCCAAAAGTGGACCTTTTTGCAGGTATGCATCTCATATTTTGTGATTTTGTGATTTTTTTATTTTATAATATGAGATTTAAATACTGCATTTTAGTGACATTTTAAGCACTGTTTTAGCTGGATTAGTATGGAGTCAATCTAGGGCCATATATAAAAGAAAATTTTGCAACCAAAAAATAAAGCATTGAGCAAAAAATAAATACATAAATGCAAATCTCCAAAAATCACAAAGCAAAAAAATATTTTTGAGAAATAAAAATTAATTTTACCAACAAAAATAAAGAACTGCAAAGGGAAATTTTTATATTTAATATTTGTAAAATCAACAAAGCAAAAATTTTTGAGAATAAAAATGAAATTTGCAAAAAAAAAAAAAAAAAGAATTGCATTTGCAAAATAATAATAATAAAAAACAATATATATATATATTTACAAAACATTTTCTTATAGCATCGCCTTTACAAAACCCGTCCAGTCAATTGCAATGCTCATTTTGATTTGCTTTTTAGTCAACCATGAGTTTGAGATACTGTTTTCACTTTGCACTTCACATTTCTTTTTGTGGCCCTCATTTGACAAGGGGTGGAGTCAAAACTTGGGCATTCATGGCAGACCTGGACCTGCCTCAATTTAAGCGAAGTCATCATTTGCTTGCCAACCGCCATAAAACTTTAAATATGCATTAAAAAACTAATCAAAATGAGCATTGCAATTAACTGGACAGGTTTTGTAAAGGCAATGCTGTAAGAAAATGTTTTGCAAATATATATCATTTTTGTTGATTTTGCAAATATTAAATTAAAAAATTTCCCTTTTTTGTTAGTAAAATTACGCTTTGTTTCTCAAAAATTAATTTTCGCTTTGCGATTTTTGGAGATTTGCGTTTATATATTTATTTTTTGCTCAATACTTTATTTTTTATTTGCAAAATGTTCTTTTATTTTGCTTTTCAGGTAGTTATCATAACCACACTTTTTGATGTACCAAAATATTTCATAAAGATTTAGATTAAAGAAATATGAAAAAAATACTTATTTTGAAAATTCAAATTTATTATATTATATATAATTAGAAAAAAATAGGAATCTGTTAAAGTTTTACTTTAAAAACTGGAGCCTATTGTCATTTATTAGGCAAATAACAAACTGCCCAGCACATTCAGCCTTCCTCAGTCAGAATTTGGCCATTTCAGAAAAAATATTAAAACAATATAATAATAATAATAATAATAATAATAATAATAATAATGTAGAGCTTCACAATTTTCTAGCCTCTCTGTAAAAAAGTATTTTTGAAAATTCATGGATTACAACAATAGCTAAAATAGCATTCAAAGTCATTTTTAATGTGGTCCGCTTTTGGTGCTTCACACCTTTTTATTGGTAATTTTTTTTTTTGTTTTGTTTCAAGAGTAAGGTCCAAGATTTAGAATAAAAGGTACTTTTTAAATGTTGTCTATTTAAAAATACAGTAGCGAAAGATTACGTCACTTATGTAAGACTGTATGTTTTCTTGCACAGCTGGATGTTGGACTAAAAAATATTTGTTGGCACTGGCCAAAACTGATCAGCAGAAGTCACACAGAAGGGACAGCTGACAGAGGATTCCGCTTGGTCTTAAAGCCTTTTTGATTGGTTATGTTCACAATTTATGATGGCATAGCAGTCAAAATAGGACAAATGACCTCAAGTATGGGACAAATTATGGGCTTTTGTCAGTGAGGGGTGGGTCTTTTGATTTTAAAAAAATTTGGTAAAAAAAAAAAGTATATTTTGTAGAATAAAATGTATTATAAATGTATATAATCAGACATGTTAAGTATGAAAGTATCCCTAATTAAAAATGATCTCTTCATAATATAGATACAAGAATTAATTGTGGTGCTAAAATGGAAATGTGTGCCTCAGCACTAAAGGAAAAGTGCTTTTTAAAAAATTTACCTTACCATAACTAAAATTACATATCGTAATTGAAATCTATAGATACAAATTGATAAAGTGCAACAAAAGAAACACTTAAAAGTGCAATTCGTATGTTTTCTTTGCATTAGACATAGAAAAAACACTTTACAAACAGCCCAAAACACACACTAAATCTCTAAATTGACAGGTGCATGAAATAACAGTGCAGTTGCCGGCAGTGTCTGGCCTTAAAATGAAATCTATAAATTGGCTTCATTCAGTTAACGTCATCCACCATTCAGCTCCTCTATTATTCTCTCTTCATCGCCGGCTCCACCTGTGTTTGCAGAGTGACAGTGGTGTGGTTCTTTCAGGACAGTCAGATAAGCTAGCAGCAAATAACAAAAAAAGATGAGGGACACCCAGCATCTATTTATCCCTTTCTTCCTCTTTCATCCCTTTGTAATCTGATTCCTCTATTCATCGCTCAGCCTTGTGGCTCTCCGGCCTCTCTGAGGCTGCTGTTTAGGGTGTGCACCTTTCTTATTTTTACTTATTGCAGCTTCTGTTCCACATATTCGTCCAGTATCATTTTTCTCTTCGCATTATTGCCCACCTTTACGTTCTGGTTTGTTGTTTAATCATAAAAGTGGTCAAACTCATCATCATCATCATCATCAGACTGCACTGGATCTTTTGTGGCTGCGGGATTCTTTTGTGGGAGAGATTCCTCCTCTGAACCAGAGGGTTGATCTGGGTAAAAATAAATCAAGTATTAAATTAAATGCAAATGATGACGTGTCACTAACCACATTTCATTAAGTTTTTCTTTTGCTTTTTTTGAAGGACAAAGAAAGCACAGTTGAAAACAAAATTATTAGCCCTCCTCTGAAATAGTTTTTTATCGTAGCACAGAAGATATTTTCACATTATTTCCTGTTATATTTTTTATGGAGAAAGTCTTTTTGACTTTAGGTTATCTGGAATTAAGCTTATTTATTTTTTCATAAAAAAAATTATAAAAAAAAAATTACAATTAAAAAAAGTCAATATCATTAGCCCTCTTAAGAATTGAGTTTCACAATTAACCTAGTTAAGCCTTTAAATTGCAAAAATTGAGCCTCGACTGGATCAGTTGGGTTTTCTGTGTGGAGTTTGCATGTTCTCTCCATGTTTGCGTTGGTTTCCTCTCGGTGCTCTGGTTTCCCCCACAAGTTCAAAAAAATGTGGTATACAGTGTATGTGTGTGATTGAGTGTGTATGGATGCTTCCTAGTGATGGGTTACAGCTGGAAGGGCATGCACTGCATAAAACATATGCTGGATAAGTTGGCAACCCCAGATTAATAAAGGGACTTAGCCGAAAAGAAAATGAATCATATAAATCATTAATGGTTGTAATTTACAGTAGGCTATTTATTAATAAATAAATAAAAGTTCTACTTAATTATAATAATCATACATCATATAGAACTACAGTACAGACACAGTTCTTAGTAAATAACCTATAAATTAAAACCATTATTGAACGCTTTTAAAAAAGTCTCCCATAGCTTTCGTCAAAAGGCTTAGCTGCCTTCAAGATCGCTTAAATGTTTTCAAATTACACTGCAGAGAGAACGAAAGGTCAATATAAAGATTGCTAAAACTGAACTGTGAAAAATACTTTCAAAGCTAGTTACACCTTAAGAGAGATGACTAATGCTTTTTTTTCCAAGTTTAAATGTTGGAACGTTCTAAAGGAATAGGGCACAACCAGGAACTAAGCTTCTAACTACAGCTCTAGAGATGTAGTTGCAAACGTACAAGTTTGCGAATGTTCATTGGAACGATGGATTTGGGAAACGTCAAATCAGCGAACTATGTTTGTAATGATGGAACTTGCAAACTTAGTTGGCTAATGATGGTTTTCGGAAATGCACCCCTGGTTAGTTGTAGTTAAAAAAAAAAAAAAAAAAAAAACTACAAAGAACATTCCTAAAACGTTCATACTGGGTTCCCAAAACCAATGCAGTTTATGCTGGAGAGAGAAACGAGTTACTGGATTAAGTGTCTGCTAATTAATTAAATATTATCTCCAGCAAACACAAAATTGTTTTTGTGAACCAAAGAGGAATGTTCTAGTAATTTTCTCTGTAAGTTGTTTTTTGGTAACCAAAACTAACATTTCCAGAATGCTAAACAAAACTAAACTTTCCAGAGTGCTATTTACTTTGTAAAAACTTAAAGAGAGCCTAAAAGGGAACATTTCACAAATGCTGCTGAAAATGAAAACATTTTATTGGCAAATTAGCCTGCCAATACATAAAATAGTCCCTGTTCCCCTGAAATTGAATCGATTTGTTAATTATTATATCAACTTTTTGCTCTTGTTCTAGTTATAATCATTATTATAATGACATGTACTAAATAAATAAAAAACTACATGGTCAAATAAAATGTTAAACACATTCACAGAACTTTTGACAATAAGACTATAACATGGAAGTGGAAAGTAGTTTACCCAAATTCACTAATAGTTAGCATGATATCATTCCAAATAAACTTATTTAAACGTAAACATACCATTTGATTGTTCCGTCACATCCTCCTTCCTATGGGAATGAATAAAGGTTAGAGTTGTGATGAGGAAGACCTAAATACCACACAATACAGAAGTCCCAAAGCTCGAAACATTGCAAAACTCACTTCTGTGTTTGAGAGTTGACAGGGTTGAGAAGATCTTCAATATCATCATCATCATCTGAGCTTTTAATGCGATCGACTAAAGGATCTCTTGACCACAGATGAGCTTTCTCAACCACAACCTCATCATCATCTTCATCATCTACATCTTGATTGTTCACCCCACCTTCTTCAGTCTCATCAGAATAGAGCTCCTCGAGACTACACAGAAGCCCAGTGTTAGTCCAGAGAGTAGAAGATTCATATTAAACAAAACAAGAAGTGATCAAGATGTGTAACTTGCATGCATTTGATACCTGTTGTGAATGTCTCTCTCAGAAGTATAAACTTGATTGTCATCCTCTCCACTTCCTTTAATGTTTCCTTCTTTGCTTTTACCCTGAAAGCTATTCTCTCTCTCCTCTTCCTCTGTTGTCTGTCCTTCATCTTCACCTCCTTCAGGCTCTTCGTTATCACTGGCTTCAATCCCACCTCTGTTTCCCATCACTTCTTCATCATCTACTCTTGCTTCCTCTCCTTCACTTCCATCTTCTTCATCTTCCATTTCTGGCTTTTCCTTACCATTGGCTTCAATCTCATGTCTCTTTCCCATCACTTCTTCATCTGTGCCTCCCTCGTCCTCTTCATCAATGTTTCTAAATCTTACTTTCTCCATTGCAACAATGATATCACAACTGTCATCTTCTCCTTCATCGGAATCATCTTCCTCTCTATTGTTCTGTCCTTGGGGTTCTTCTTTCTTTTCTGGCCTGATGTGACACTGAGGTGCTTCTTGGCTTATGTTTTCATCCTGGTCATCTTCATCTTGACTCGCTGCACTGATACTCTTCTTTCTGATTATAGATTCTTCACTGCTGTGGTTCTTATGTGCTTTTTGTGTCTTTGTGTCTGAGTGGCTGTCTGGAGCATCTTCAGACATAGTGGAAGAGCTAAAACAGATCATTGTTGAAGGAGGTTAGAATAAGAAAGGAATCTTTTAACCACATTTCTAAATGTGTTAAAAAAAAGGGCACAAAGGCAGAGCATTTACTAAAAGGTAACACTTAAGTATTGCTATGCTTACTAAATGTATCTTTAATTTACTAATATCCTCAGCCTAAGGGTAAATACGGTACAGAATTACCTTTTGAAAAGGTGCCTTTTTCTGAGACTATGTAAAACAGAGGTTCCCAGACATTTATTTTAAGGGCCAAAAATCAATTGAGAAACATATGCCAAAACAGTTAAATAGCTAGCAAAGTCCTGTTTCACATGTACAGATTCAATTATTAGTCCTCTAGTGAAATCAAAATTATTTTTCAATCATTTTCACAAGTAATTTTTTATCAGGGCAAATACATTTTCTGATTATATCCATTGTATTTTTTCTGGCTAAAGTGATTTTCTTTTAGTTTTAATTTAAAAACAATATTATCAGCCCCTTACAGAATAAGCTTGCTTAATCTCCTTCAAGTCAAATTCTTATTGTCATTTAAATTTGTTTATTTACATTTATATTGCTCAAAAATTAAAGTTATGTAGAGGGTGTTGCAAATGGATTGATTTTTTTTTATCTATGGACTCATAAAATGTAATTAACATTCTGTCATTTATGTTACCCTTCAGATTTGTTGCCATTTGCTGACGCTTGTGATTTGGTCCCATTTCTTTTGGTCTTTCTCTGTTTTTGCATCTCAGAAGAAGGGTTTTCAGAGGATCCAGCGCTGCCTTCACTACTTCCTCCACAGTCGACTGATAGACGCACTTTAGGAAGGTAAAATACACACAGACAGCATGTTTGTAATTAATTGTGAATGACAAATGAGCATTAGAGCAGACATTAGTTATCAAGTACGGTGGAATACATGGAGCTGTTTCAACCCAAAGTTATAGAAAATATGGACCAGCCCAACTGTTGGGTTAATTTTTTTAATACAAATTTTAACCCAACTGTAGGGTTAATCCCAGTGGTGTAAAGTAACTAATTACAAATACTCAAATTACTGTAATTGAGTAGTTTTTTTCAGGAATTGTAATTTATTAAGTAGTTTTAAAATTGTGTATCTTGATTTTCCCTTAAGTACAATTTTAGTGCTGTATCAGTACTTTTACTCCACTATTTTCCTTCAACCTGCAGTCACTACTTTATTTTTTTCTTGTGGGGATTAGAAAAATCAGTCCTGTGATTCCTGTCCAATCAAATCACACATAAAAGGTAAATCACCTCATAATGAACTACCTCAAGACATGGGTGATTAAAAATTGCAGAAAACTGTTTAGAAGCCTTACAAGTGTCCAAGAAATCTTTACACGCAATGGCCCAGAGACTGTTTAGATGCATGTGACTGATGGGAAAATGATAGATGTTTACTGTATGATGACCGAAATGGCCTTAAACACCCAGCAGGCACAAGATGATGTCAGATTAACATTGTACCGCAACGTCGTGGGGATGTTGCATTTTGTTTGGAAATGAAAATTGGGTTTATGTCAGAACTCCAACCTGAAATTAACTAAATATCAATAAATGATATTACTGTACAGCTTTACGTTGTGTGGATGTTACCAATATGACATATATTAGATGTTTAAGATGTTGGCTCGACTTTGGATTTTGGTCACTTTCTAACAACCTAAAATCAACCAAATATCAATGTCTTTTGACATTGTTATTGGACGTCAATATCATGTTTTCCTTAGACATTGGCTATATGTTCCACCTGACCCCACAACCTAAGTCTAACCTAATATTAATATCTTATTACATTGTGTGTCTGCTTGGCAATAACTAAATGCAGTACAGATTGTTACGTTTACACACATCCACATATTGCATGTAAATGCATCAGCTTTTAGCAGCGTAATATTCACTGCACTTGAGTACTTTTAAAAGGTCAATTTTTTTACTCATATTTTGAATAATATTTATAACAGAGACTTTTACTCTACTTGCACTACATTTTTAGGCAAGTAATGGTAATTTTACTTGAGTATGATTTTTCAGTACTCTTTCCAACACTGGTTAATCCATATATTACTAGTGTTGACTAGTACAAACAACACAACCTTCTCACAACATGTCACTTTGGTTAATTTGCTTAGTTAGACATTGTGAAATAATATAAATCTTCAACAAACATAGTATATGCCAGAACTTTCACTTTTGTTAATCAAATTCTAGCAGCATTTTTTGTTTTTCCTTCTAATCATACAGCAGTAGGTCACTCATTCACTTTTCTATGGCTTCTTCCCTGCTTTATCAGGGGTCGCCACAGCCGAATGAACCACCAGTTTCTTTGGCAATTGTTTTACAATGGGACTTGAACCAGTGACCTTCTTGCTGCAACGCAAACATGCTAACCACTTAGCCACCTGAGTAAATCTGTTGTCTTAAAAGTGACCTTTCTTTAAAATGTGAGTGAATGCATTGTAACTTGGAACTGTTAAGTTGACTGTTCATTCATTCATTCATTCATTCATTCATTCATTCATTTTTCTTCGACTTAGAAGTAAGATTTTTTTATTCATCCCTTTATTCATTAGGGGTCACCACAGCGGAATGAACCACCAACTTCCCCGGAATATGTTTTTATGCAGCGAATGCCCTTCCAGCTAAAACCCAGTACTGGGTAACACCCATACACACTCATTCACAAGCACAGACACTCATCCATTCATTCATTCATTCATTCATTCATTTTCTTTTCGGCTTAGTCCCTTTTTTAATCAGGGGTCGCCACATTGGAAAGAACCACCAACTTATCCAGCATATGTTTTACGCAGCGGATGCCCTTCCAGCTGCAATTTATCACTGTGAAACACCCATACACTCTCATTCACACACATACACTGCGGACAATTTAGTTTATTCAATTCAGCTTTAGTGCATGTCTTTGGAGTGTGGAGGAAACCGGAGCACCTGAAGGAAACCCACGCCAACACGCGGAGAACATGCAAACTCCACACACAATTGCCAAATGACCCAGCCAGGACTCCAACCAGCGACCTTCTTGCTGTGAGGCAACAGTGCTAACCACTGAGCCACCGTGTCTCCTTGACTGTTCATTTACTTAATAATTTGAAAGCAATGAGTTTAAGTAGAGTCAACCAATATCTTTTTAAAGTGCACCCTCATTATGCAAATCAAGAATTTTGTGGATGGCGCATCCATAAAAAAGAATAGTTAATTTACATTTGACTGACGACGTAACATTTTTCTAAACAACTAACCTGGTCTACAATCCAGCTCAGAAGTTCGATCACTCTCTTTTCCATTTCTTCTGTGTTTTACTCTCAAATGGTTCTCCTCATTTGGATGTATTGTTTCTTCTCCCACATTTTCCTGGTAGTTCTCACTGCGCTGGACTCTTTTCTGACTGGAGCCTGGTACTTCCATCATGGGGTTGACCACTGGTAGTGGTGGCCAGGCGGCAGCAGCAGGTGTGAAGTGAGCTGTAGGCTGCAGTCTTTGCCACAGATGCTCCACTAATGGTGTCTCCTGCTGGACTGGAGGATCTGACTGATGGAGAGAATCACCAGGTACAGGATAGTAGGGATGATTCAAGGCTTGAATGTTCTGGAGGTTTTTATAATCCTTTGGGAAATTGTTATGAGAGAGTCCGGATATAAAAGGCTGGGAGCCAGTTAACCATGTAGGCGGAAGGTATGGATGGTGGGCATTTTGGTTGCATCTTTCAGCTTTTGGCTTGATATCTATAGAAACAAAGTCTTTTAAACACATTTTCCTCAGATGACATTATAACAGAAATTGCTTTTACCTTTGGGTGCCTGATGACTGTTTGCCACAGTGTGGGAAGTTTGTGATGGATCTGGAGAGTTGAAGGACATTGCTTGGCCTCTATCCTGCTCCATGTGTTGAATATGGTTCTTTAAATGCTGTTGTACCCGCTGGATAAAAACAGACATCTCTATGAATGCATGTTTACTGTTTTCCACACATTCTTCAGTAACCTTTTCAGACAATTAGTAAACCTTTAATGTTTTATTTTAATCTTAGTCACAACACCTTTTATAAGACATCACTTTCACCTTTGACTTTTCAGAAACTCTTATGTCTTTCAGTCTTTGCTGCCATCGTGGGAAGTTCTCTTCCAGGTACTGTTCATACTGAACCTTTTGAAGAGCAAATGTAGGTTAGTTTAACAGCAGTAAAATAATCATGTGCATGTAATGGCAAATTTTAATACATTTTTATGTGTCATAATTAACACAGGGCATACTTTCAAAACAAAGTGCAAAACTGTACCTTCAGTGTTGTAAAAGCTTGTCAAAGGATAGTGCTGTTAAATGCATAACTTTATACCTTATTTATGCTTATTAGACGGCTCTCTGGAATACTTGATTCTGGTTGGTCAGCCGTGCTATTCCAAGATATATTATACCCAGATATAAACAGCTGAAACTAAAACAGGCTTGAATCATCTTGACCATTGTTGAATGCATTCATATCCATATTTATATGCTTATATTTGACTCCACTGTTCTAAACTGTTTGGTGCCATTTTGTGACAGAATAATTAGTGTAGTGTATGCAGCATTCAGACAATTTTGTTTGTCAGCTTTGCTTTTAATGAAAGAGGTAATTTGAATAATGAAGAGGCTGCTACCAACATTTTGTGTTTATGGTTTAATTTTTGACAGGCAGGACATAAATAGTATATAATAAGCAGGATAACATACATTTAGGTGCCCACATAGCAAAATATCTCTGGCCCACACAATCAGCTTTTGCTTGGCCTGCAGTGAATTACGGTACATGACTAGACCAAGTCTGGCATTCAGAAAAGGCCAAAACATAGATTGTATCTGGGCCAAGTGTCAGCCAAGTTAATAACCCATAACTGAGCCTGAACTAGGCCAGATATGTTTGTGTGTCACGACTGCAATACAATTGATAAACCCATGAATCAATGCGCTTCAGGAGAACTTTTGGCTTGCTTTTTCTCGAAGTGACCTGATTGGCAGATTTTTTTTCATTATTTGAAAATAATAAAATTGTATTTTGAATGTTGGTCAAGATAGGCCAAATTTACATGGCTCACTTATCAATTATTAACATCTGGGCCAAGTACTACATTTTACATCTGGCCCAAGTATTGTGTGCTGCCTTAGAGACGGTCTTACCTCTGCCAAACCAGGGCCATGTTTGGCCCACATGCTGTATGCCAGTGCTGGATGAATGCCTGCTGTGCCAGATTTATGCCAAATATGGGCCAGAATTCTTTGCTACCTGGGTGGTTGTTTTCACCGAATTAAGCCCTTGTATTTTACAACAAGTCTAAAACGCCTATTGGGTTTTATTTTATGAGAACAACTGATTATCCCTTAGATAAAGGCTGCATATGAAAGGGAAATTGAGATGGAATTCACTTTTGTGACTCAGTGAAATAGTTTCTAGAAAATTAACAAAAAAAGTCAATTTATTTCATTGTTGACCATTGATATTTGCTGCAATTGTGTGTGACTTATGCTGACCAGGGTTGGGAAACAACCGAATGCATGTAACTTGATCATAATAAAACCTGATCTTTATTTCATCACATTAGTTACATTTTAAATAGGGAATCATCTTACAGTCACACCTGCAAAGCATTTGTGATTTTGTAATCTGCAGTGAAATACATTCAGTAAAAGTAACCTTCCTAAACCTGACCTGTCTCTTCAAGATTTGGGAATACTTTTGCTGCAAAAGCCTGCCTGATGCTGACTTTAAGGGAATGTGTGAATTCTCCAAGAAAGACACACTTTAACAGTAATGCTGCACTAAAGGCATTTTAGAACATATTATTCCCACAGTGCTGCTGTTTTACATTATAAATAGCAGAAGTCATATGGTTGCTGACCCGTATGATGTTCATGGCTTCGGTACGGGCCACCATGTCGCTGAGTGTGTCTTCTGCTCTCTGAAAGTCCTGCAGGAGTTTTTGGTTATGAATATGAGCTCTGCGTTCCTGCTCACTGATCTCCAACCAGCGGCCCTGCAGCCAGGCAGCCCTGCTACTATAATCAAACCAAACACTTCAGCAACTCATTCACTAACACAACACTCATTTTTCTAAAATACTTGTAAAACACAGATTAAATAGAGACTCGTTTTTATTAATTACATGATACTGGTAGCCTACTTGTTTATTAGATAGCCTACTTATTCTAATTTATCAGATGCTGTTAGCAGTGGTGGTAAGAGTACAAAAAAATTGTACTCAATTACAAGTACTGTTACATTGCTGAAATTGTACTCAATTACAAGTAAAAGTACTGGTGTTAAAAAGTACTCAAGTAAAAGTACAAATTACTCTTCGTAAAAACTACTCAAATTACAAAATTACAAATTACTTTTTTAGCTTGGCGGTATTGGTGGAATTATCCATAAATGCGGAGTCAGACAAGATCCAGGCAGTAACAAATTTTACATAACACATTTAAAGATACTATAAACACTTTTAAAACTGTGTAAACAGCATTAATTATAGATAATAATTATAGAGCACCTATAGAGGAAACCCACGCCAACATGGGGAAAACATGCAAACTCCACACAGAAACACCAACTGACTCAGCCAGGGCTTGAACCAACAAACTTTTTACTTTTACTTTTTTTCTTTTTACTATAACAGAAATATGCACAAATGCACGACTTTTTATCATTTCAACTGATGCCTCTTTTATCTGTACGATCAATAGATGATGTAATAAATAAAAAAAAACACTTGCAAATTATGGAGAAACTTTGTTAATTACCTAATTCGCGAACTGAACCGTCAGAAACCACAGAACAACACTGCCTAGTGCCTAAACATATTATTAATAAATATAATATCACACAAATTAAGTTATGTCTTCTTACCATAATGTTTTTTTTTTTAGATTATAGATTGAAGTCTTAAAAAAAAGGGTTTCTGCAGATATCATAATGTCAAATTTAAGACTTTTTAAGACCTCTTTAAGACCATAAAGTATTAAATTTAAGACCTATATCACAATATCAAAAGCATGCAAGAGAAAATGCAAAAACACAAAATTTGTGGTAAAATAAAATTATTTAAATAGAACAGTACTGAAGACAGGTTAGATGCACCATTGAAGTGCAGGAACAAAAAAACAAAGAAACAAACATTTTGAGGCTGATTTATACTTTCGCCTGGCTCCGCATTGCACACCTCCGCTGACTGTGCGCACTTCACGAAATGGATGAGGCTTTAATACTAGACGTGTTCGTCATTGTGATATTCTTTAAAACATCAGGGGCCAGTCAAAAGAAACCTCACTGTAAAGTCAGACGGATAAACAGAGAAGTAAAACGTTTTCAGAACTACGTCATATCTTTATTATTGTTCAAGATTTTAAAAATAATTATTTTTCATTATTTTTATAATTTATTATGATTACAAAGTTGGGTGACGGGGTGGGGCAGTGGGTAGCGCTCTCGACTCAAGGCAAAAAGGTCGCTGGTTCAAGCCTTGGCTGGGTCAGTTGGCATTTCTGTGTGAAGTTTGCATGTTCTCCGATTGTTTGCGTGGGTTTGCTCAAGATGCTCCGGTTTTCCCCACAGTCCAAAGACATGCATTTTAGGTGAATTAGGTAAGCTAAATTGTCTGTTGTTGTAAATGAGAACGGGTTGCAGCTGGAAGGGCATCCGCTGTGTAAAACATATGCTAATAAATCATTCGGTTCATTCCGCTGTGGCGACCCCAGATTAATAAAGGAACTAAGCCAAAAAGAAAATTAATGAATGATTATAAAGTTTTATAACTATTCAAGATTTTTTTAATTAGAGTTTGATGCATCACTCACTTGTGTTTATATCTCAGACAGTTCTACCTATTAAAGTTAAATATCAATGACAACAGAACATGGGTTACTCTACAATTATTTTTTTTATTCTGGCAAGAATAATAGCAAAAAAATATATATATTATTTTTTGCCCACTCAACAATTGACACATTATTGTCTGGCTAGTTTCTGTCCTCTACTAATGAGCTGAAAAGGCAATAATGGTCCAACAATCCTGTCTATTATCACCAATAAAGCCTATAAATTAAGCTTGAGTACACTGTAAGCCGATGGGCTCATATATTCTTTTCCAGTTATCAAATACTTAATTTGTTACTTAATTTTTTTTACATTGCTTTAACTTCAAAATGATACATCAGTTTAAAACCAATAAATGGTGAAAAAACATATTCTGTAATCTTAAAACCACCTGGGTCTCCACTTTTGCCATGGCCTCTTTTTTGTTGTAACAAACTTATCCCCTAGGTTTTTCCCAACTTTAACAAAACACTTCCTTTCCATGGCTGTTGCAATTTCTAGCCAAGAATTATTGGTCATCTGGTCATCTCTATGCTGATCACGCATGGTTGGATAGTTAAGATGTCTGTACATTCGTACTGTTACAGTCAAAATCTCTTCAAAGTGATTCAAATTCAACTCAAATCAAGCGCGGCGCCGCGCGAAACTGTTCACCCGAAATCATGTCGCGCGCGTCCAAAGTGAACCTCCGCAAACACGGCGATGACGTCACATTCGCCGCGCGCACTGAGCTATTGCATGCTGGTCTTTTCTTATTTGTAGTTTTAATACTGCAAATTAAAATAGGAATAGTGAAATAAAGAACTACACCACCACGAAACCAAGCAACAACAAAAAAATTAAATGAGCATTAGGAGTAGCGTTACATGTACATCGGAAAAATAAGACCTGTGCAAACATATTTCAGACCTGGAACAGCGAATTTGAGACTTTTTAAGGCCTAAAATTTAGATGTTTATATTTTAGACATTTTAAGACCCCACGGAAACCCTGTGTAAGCCGGATGGTACAGCAGAGGGCAGGTTTCATCCACCTTTTTTTGCGCTTTTTGGATATGCACATAAAAACGGTTGATGGAAACGCTATAATGCGCATATATTTTGAAAATGTGTGTGAATGGACAAACCAGCAGGCTAAGCACATTGTAAAACATCTAAAGTGTTGTTTTGGTCATTTTAAACCGCCTCAACCATTTCAGTATTATATTATATTAATAATGACCTCCAGAACTGTCAAGAGTGCCTGCACTCCGTGTCTCGCGCCTTCCAGCGCGCGTTCACTGCGTGCAGGATTGCCTTCTGATGCGCAAGTCACTTATTAAATGAAGATAATTTATTCATGCAGCTGCTCCTACTGATGCTAATTCTGTTTTTACTTTTGATATTTGTCGCCAGTTAATCAGGTGGCAATTTTGTTTGACTTGTTGGACAGAAACGCTGCTTTATTTGCAGTCTTTTATGCGATATTCCAGTTTTGGGCATACATTTAATTAGCATTTTAGATGATACCATAGCTAATCACATCAGCACAGCTGTCCCCTTTTTTCCCTATGTACCTGTAGGTGAACAGCTCCTCCAGGTGTGGCAATGGGCATTCATCCTCTGCTATTTCTTCCTCATTTCTTCTGTCTTAAATCTCCATATGTAATTGATAACTTTGTGACTGTATGATGACGGTCACGTAAATCTGCAGTAGCCTGAACTTGTTTTTCGGTTCAAATAATGTACCAGGCTTTTCATTGGTCCGTTAAGATCAGCTTTTTTTATTGGCTACCGAAATGCTGGTCAGTGCGTGGCTGAAATATTAATTTATTTACAGTACTCTGTAACGAATTGTGATTTTAAAAGTAACGAAGTAGATTACTCAGCTTAATTTTTACTCAAGTACAAGTAAAATTACAGGCTTAAAATTCTACTCATGAAAGTACAATTACCCCAAAAATGTACTTAATTACAGTAACGTGAGTAGTTGTAATTCGTTACTCCCACCACTGGCTGTTAGTTATTTATTAGATACTAGTTCTTATTCCAGATGTTACTATTATGAATTTTGAAAGATTTTTAAACATTGGTTTTCTGATTAGTTATATATATATATATATATATATATATATATATATATATATATATATATATATATATATATATATATATATATAACATAAGACAAGTAAAAAAAACTGACTAACAATAACAAATATGAGACTGGTAGCTAATGAATGAGTAGTTGTAATACACAAAACAAGAAACTGGTACATTTTATAAATTCAATATTACAAAGCTTTTTACCGATTTTTGTAGTAAGCAGTAGTAGCAGGCAATTTTTATCCCTTTGGTTCCAAAGTATAAAACTTTTATCAGGTATCATTTTTTTACAACTTCAAATAAGTCATACAAACACAATTACATTAAAAATCACAACATCCTTTAATAGATAGCACACTCTATTCTCAAATTAGGAATTCAGCAGATATCAGTCAATGAATGTTTTATTCTTACAGGCGATGACTTCTTTGTTGTGACTGAAGATCGTTCTGGAGCTGCATCCTCCTTCGCTGACTAGAATTATTAAACAAAACGTTCAGAAAACATTGTTATAGTGTTAAACACACACACGCGCGCGCGCGCACACACACACACACACACACACACACACACACACACAGTCTGATAAATCGTAATCTTAACATGTGTGACTAACTTTCCTCAGAAGGTAAAGAGCGTTAGTTTTTTGCATGACAGCATCATTCTTTCGTCACTTTTATCAAAGATGCGAGTTTGATATTTTATAAAACAAAACAAAGTGGATTTCATTTTTAAATCCTTGGTTATTTAAACTTTTACTTTATATTGACAGACAATAGCGCTCTCTGCTGGTTGTGATAGCGCATGAGAAAATTATTAAATCAGCATTCACTGAGAATTTAATATACAGTAGCCTGTCATGGTTTGCATCACAACATCTCGACAGCATAAAACAAACTATCCTTTAATAAACTTGAGTAATTTCAATTCGAGAAGAGGTAGAAGTAGGCTAGATCTGAGGCTGAAACACACAGAATCAAATATAAGGCTTTACAGTTGCTGGTGACTCGAGCACTCACTTGTGTTGTAGATTTTCGTATGCTTGATAATTGTCCATCTCGCTCTTTGTATATGATGTCATGCTAAACTCGCAGTGAATGGCAGTCGGCTCTCTCTACAACCAACAGTGCGGATTATATGAGATTAGGGATTATTCTTTGTGGAAGGAGGTCAGAAAGGAAAGGAGTGGTCATAGAAGTCTGTCTACTCCTTTTACGGACTATTCACTACACGCAGTTTTACAGAAGCCTGTCACATAACTCAACATGGCTTTCTTTAATATTATTTATTTACAAAAGTTGTTGCGTTATTGTTTACCAAATAATAGCAATCATTATAATACTGTAGGCTACTAAATTCTCAACAAAAAAAAGACCATTAAAATATTTAAGACGTATTTTCACAGCTGTGATTTTTTTTCATTTAACAGTATTGTTAACAATGAATCAATGTAATTAAAACAATCGTATTTGTTTATTTTGTATTAGTTAAAAAACATTCAATTAAATTTTTATATATATATATATATATATATATATATATATATATATATATATATATATGGGAAACATCCACCCACGCTTACACACTCTTTCACACGCATACGGATAGACATTTATCTATTTTATAATAACTATGAGCAGAAATAATAGCAATCGTAAAAATACTCAACTAAATAAGACCATAAACATATTTAAGACATTTTTTTACAGCTGTTATGTTTTATTTTCACAGTTTTTAACGGTGAATCAATGTAATTTAAATAATGTTATATTATATTTATATTTGTGAAAATACGTTAAATAAATTATAAGAAGTCACACATTTATTAAAAAGTCTTTGTTTGTTTATTTAATTGCTTGTTTATAGGTTTATTTGTTTGCCAAAACCTTATGTGATTAAAAAAAGACTAAATTTGGCAGATTTTTGTACAAGCGTGGAACTCTTTTAGAGGGGCGTTGCGGCAGACGGAATGTTTCAGCTGCGACACAGACCTGTCATGTGCCGAATGTTGTTAGCCAGAAGCAGCAGCAGCAGTTCATTGTGAGAGATTTGCTCTGTATTTACTGTCGGGACAATATACTGAATGGAATGACAGGTCAGTATCACTTACAATATATTACAGATATTTTTTTTAGTTTTCAACTAGTTGTTTCTGTCAGCGACAACTACATGAACCTTCGATGTTGTATTAGCAATTGTTAATTCATTGCAACTTTCAGTTTAACATGCCTTTAGGAAATAAAATGTGTCGTTTAATGATTATAACGTCTCCCCCAATTGTATCTCTTTCCTTTTTGTGTTTAGATTCGAGCAAACGTGGACCGAGTGGCTTTTTACAGGTTGAAAACAGGTTGAGCAGGTTGTGTGTCAAGAAGCGTTTGGTTTGATAAAAGGCTGAAAACATGACCAGCTTTATGAGCAGAGTCTGGTGTAAGGTGGAGTCGACCGGTCGTCAGCTGCCGATCGTCCTGAACGCCGTGTTGGTGTTCTCCATCACCGCAGAGGTCAGTTATCTGGTGCTGGTCGAGGCTCCTTTTGAACCGGAGCAGAAGAAGTCCGACTGGTCCACTATTTGGACTGGCCTGCATCTCTTCGCCCAGTACTTCATGCTGGGAAACATAACCTGGAACGCCTCGCTGTTCGTGAAAACCAACCCCAGTATTCGCGGAGTGTTTCTTGGAGGAGATACTTTGGGTCAAGGTTGGAGGTAACTTGCTTGCATTGATTGTTAAAGCGATAGTTCACAAAAAAGAAAATTCTGTTATCATTTACTCATCTTTTACTTGTTCCAAACCAGTTTGAATTTCTGTGTTGTGTAATCCATTGAATAATGTTATTTTTTCCTACTATAGACAGTTTTGAGGGATGTAAACAAAAACAATGGCCCGACGTGTTTCCTGTTTCTATAAATAAATATATATAAGCACTTAAGTGTGAGTAAATGGGGAACTGTCCATTTACAGCAAGACACTCCATATGAATAGTATAAAAAACAGTTATTGTCACCAATATTACCCAGTTGATTGATTACTTAAAGGGTTGCAGTTTTTTATTCAAAGTATTTGAAAATGTTTTCTTTACAAATTTAAAAAAAGCATTAAATATGTGCCATTTTCCATACATTTCTAGCACATTGGATGAAGTCAGGTGTAATATTCTTGTCTAGTAATTAAGTTTATTTATTTAAACATTGATGCCAAAAGTTTCTCACAGAATATTTTGGGTGTCTTTTGCTTCATTTTTTACTGTATTAAGATTTATCATTATTTAGAAATTAATTAAATTTTATCCAGAAATAAATTAATTTTTTTGCAGCCTAAAAAGTTGCATGTAATCCGACAAAATGTCTGTTAATATATCTTTTTGTAAAACCTTAGAAATATAGAAATGATTAAAACTGTTAATTTTAGTCTGTGCACAATAAGTGTTGATGAAGTAGAGATTTTTTGCTCAGTGCATGAGAAAAAAAAGCTAATTTTGTGAATCTAGCTATTAAAAGTGTGCATTGTAACTTAAATCTACAAAAACAAATTGATGACTTGCAACAAAATAAACACACAAAATATTTTGGATATTTTTTTTATATCTGTCTGGGGGAAAATCAAAAAGCCCCAAATCTTAGCATTGTCAGGTGCATGATTTTGCATTTGCTCTGTATTTATCATTCATTTATATTCCAAAATCAGTTTTTCAGCTTATGTTGTGTTCTCCGGTTCATGGTGAAAGCTCATTATTAACCATTGTGATTTGATGTTTTCTTCAGGTACTGTTACAACTGTGAGACACACACTCCTCCACGATGCTCGCACTGCTATGACTGTAACGTGTGTGTACTGCGGCGCGATCACCACTGTGTGTTTTTTGGCCAGTGCGTCGGCTTTCACAATTACCGGTATTTCCTGACCTGTCTGCTCTTCATGTGGGCAGGGCTGCTCTATGCAGTTGTCATGAACGCTGAAGTCTTCATTTTCATCCTAAAGGAGGGCGTGACGTTTCACAGTGTCATGCTTTTACTCGTGCCCTGGATAATGCTCGTCTCTGGTGAGTTTGCTAATGAGTGTCTGCTCTATAATTTCATGAAAAGTCTTAAGTTTCATTGATTTCTTGAAATGAGAGTTGAGTGTGTTGTGGAAATGGATATGTACTGGCACTGTAGAGTGCTTTAGTGCATGTCCAGAAGTGTTTTTTTTCCTAATTCGTTTTACCAATAGGGAATTTAAACAAAATCTTTGTTAAATCAACCATGAACCAAACTATCCAGCTACATTGGCAATCACATCACATTACATTACTTTAATGAGGGGCAGAGCGACAATCCCACAACCATTGTGACACTTTAAAAATTTGTAAAAACAACAACAACAAAAACTATTCAGGACAGGTAAAGTTGTTAGTTAGCAGGTTTATTGTAATAGTTATATAGTTAGGGCCATAAATATTTGTACATCGACACAATTCTAACATTTTTGGCTCTATGTACCAACACAATGGATTTAAAATGAAATGAGATGTGCTTTAACTGCAAACTGTCAGCTTTAATTTGAGTATTTTTACATCCAAATCAGGTGAACGGTGTAGGAATTATAACAGTTTGCATATGTGCCTCCCACTTGTTTAGGTTCCAAAAGTACTTGGACAGAATAATAATCACAAATCAAACTTTCACTTTTTAATATTTAGTTGCAAATCTTTTGCTGTCAATTACAGCCTGAAGTCTGGAACGCATAGAGATCACCAGATGCTGGGTTTCATCCCTGGTGGTGCTCTGCCAGGCCTTTTTAAGAGACCGCTTAAATTCTCTCTGGATTTATGATTTATAATTCTTTTGCTAAAATGTTTTTATTATTATTCTGTAAGCTTCAGATTATATTTCTTCTAAATCTAATAGAATGATCTTATAATTTAGATGCTGTTTTAATTTTTTAAATAAAGTAGTAAACTTGCAATGTTTGATTTTTAAAAGCTCTATGTGATGGTTATTTATTTTTATTTTGAAGTAATATTACCAGACCTTTATTGAATAAAATGAATATTAACACTAGTTAAAACTGCTTTCACATTTATAACAGTATAAAATATCTATAATATTAAAAAATTATAAATAATATTTATATTTAAATAAAATTATTTAAATAATTTGTTCGTCATTCTAAAAATTTTAAGCAACACAGGTATTTTTCACTTAAATCGGAACAAAAAATGTTTAAGCAGCAAATTAGTATATTAGATTAATTTTGTGACTCAATACATAAATTATATATATTGAATTTTAAATTAGAAATGTTAGCATTCCTGTGGTTTGTTTTGTAGCCTTTTGAAAAAGAGCCTCATAAACTATTATGGGATCTAGTAGTATTTACTTTAAATTATTTTTTAGCAATTAAATGGAATACAACTATTCAGAAGATTAAATATAATGGGAAATACTATGAAAAATGTTCTGTTTAACATCACAGAAATATTTGAAAAAAAATAAAATAAATGTACAGAGGGGTTATAAAAAATCCCTTTAACTCTACATGCATAAATAAATAAATGGCATTTTTATTTGTCCATAAATACAATGAGGAAAATGAATTTTTCAAAAAAAAAAAAAAAAAAAGATTCATATATTCACAATTTGTCACAGAAATACCCATAAACATTTTTTCAACCCCATTAGCAGAAGACCCCTCTCAGTGTTTGTACTGTACAGTTCCTCTTACAGTAAAACACATTCTAGTGTGCTGTCCTGCTTTTAATGATTCCAGAAGACTTTTTTATGAAAGGAACTCTCTTGAGGACATTTTTAGCAAAGGAACACTAGAAACATTTTTTCTGTGTGTGAATTTTTATCATACACTACCACTAAAAATCTTATTTATGTATTCATTTGTTTGTTGCATTAAATGATATATTAATTATTGAAATGATTTTTGCAATGAAAATAGCCTTTGTTGCTGACATGGCATTAAATAAAAAATACATTACACCAACCCATTAACAAAGTTTTTTTTCTCCAATCACAGGACAGGTGACTACACGAGCCTTTGCTTTTGCATTTATTGCTGACACTTGTGTCGTGGGTTTCCTGCTGGTCGCTGCCTTCCTCTTTTTCCACGTGGCTCTGATGCTGAGAGGACAGACCACCCGCGAGTGGTACTCCACCCGACGGCCGTACAGCCTGGGAACCATGGCCAACATCAGGGAATGCCTTGGCAAGAACTGGTACTTCTGCTGGCTCTGTCCGTTGATACCTTCCCCACTGCCTGGAGACGGCATAA